GGGTCTTGTATTAAATTTTACTTTTTCAAAATCAATTTTTTCTTCTTCCAAAAAAAATCAATTTTTTTCTGACTTTTACTACTCTCTCTCCCATAGTAATCTTCTAACTTTATATATTCACTAGTTTCTTCACGCGCGTTGCGCGACATGATAAATGCCCAATATAATATTTTTTGCACCATTTGCACAACATTTGTTATTCACTATGAATATACATAAGTCTAACAATTCAATTCCGTTACAAAAGATTGGGAGAAAGAACATGAAATTGAAGCGAGTATTATTTGATAAAATGAATACATCCATGAACCAATCACATATAAATGGGATTTTTTTTGTGAACAGATCATTAAGAAGGATAAAGTTATGGTCAACATGTCAAGGTCATACCTATAAATTTTAGAATCAATAACAAAATATATGTCAATTATTGATTGATGTCTCTAAGGATAAATTAAGCAAAATCCTATAAGTAATGCAATGGACAAGCTTATCGATTAGTAAGTATACATTCCAAATTTACTTTACCCATCTTCCAAACTTTTCAGGATATAACATTTTTATATTTTTTTTAAACAAATGGAAAGACTATGAAGCAAATACAAGAAATACAAATCAATAAAACGTATAGTATGCATGCAAAGATGTCACTGCATACATTGTAGTAGACTTTATTGTTACTCTTTGATGGGCCTCTGTCTTTATGGACATATAATAAAAGAGCATATTTGACATTCAAAAAGTGGTAGAGTACCTAGACAGTGACTAAATAACTATAACAATAGAGCTCATACACTACAGGTAATATACCCGAACAATACAAGTATTTGCATGGCATTGGGATTCAGTAAGAACCTGAGAAGTGAGATCAGTGATGATAAAAAGTATCGAGGTAAGAAAACGTGGGTCTGGTAAGTAGAAACAAAATACTAAGTGGGATTTTTACTACATGTCACTCAGTTTCATTATTTTGGTGTTAGTTTAGTAAATACTAAAATAGTAAAATATGTGGTTTTATTTTCAAGCTAAGTTTTTAATGTCATTATGTGGGTTTATTTAGGCTAAAAATTTGCCTCCAATAGCAAGAGCAAGAATATCATCATGTTTAGGATGGGGCTGATTTAACTTTTGGACAGAGAATTTAGAATAAAATTTATCCTACTTGTTATTATCAAAATGTTTAGAATAAAAATTCATTAGCAAAGTGATTCCACAGAAAATTTAACTTTTAAACAAAAAGAAATTCAAACAAAGCTCATAATTTGTCCTACTTGTTAAATGTCCTTGTGACTGAATGTTTTAGTTGGTGAAATTTGGCAGACAACTATCAAAGGTATTAACTCATTTACAATAGCCTGGTAAAGCACTACTACTATTCATAGAGGAGTTAATCAGAACACATGAAGGTGGATACACTATTTGTGTAACAACTTAACTATCATTCAGGCATATTCACAAGCATCTAGTATGCTTCAAAGATTTTTTACTCATTTATAGCAAGATTAAGTTTTGGCATACACTTACATATCACAACAGTCTTATTTAAGCAAATTCACAAATAATGAGCGTCAATGAAACACATTTTTCTGGCATGCAACATGATGGGAAACAAAGACAAAAAACAAAGGCAGAAACTATCACAAACAAGGATAGAAGACATACCAGAAAAACTGTGAGCAGGTGGGAAAATCGGCTGCCAATTGCATAAGACGCATTTACTTGGTCATGGCAGAGAAGGATTGAAGGCGGCCGCACCATTTGAAATTCCATAACTCGCATTGGAGAGGAGAAGGATCGATGTGAAGGGCACAAGCAAAATTAAATCAGCTCCGTAAATGCGAGGAAGACAACGGGATGTGCGAGATTAATGAACACTCACCAGCAAAGACGACGAAGGGATGTGCGAGCCTCTGCTAACCTATGCGACCGAATAGCGGCTCTGCTAGTAAAGATGGAGCGAGAGATGTGGATTATGGGTGAAGCTAGGCTTGTGGGTGAGCGGGGTGTGGGGCCCTGCGAAAATTACTAACAGAAACGATTCGAGGGTAGTAACGGAGAAGATAGCTGCGGCACTCCATAGGGGAGATATAAGGCACACAACTTCTAAATTTTACAAACATTTAAGCATAATGTATATGTCAACAAAGCTCACAGTACCACCAACAAAATATCTATACCCAAAAGAGACTAACCTTCATTCACCCTTATTAGATTGTATGTAGAGATATGTCTCATAATTATCTTTACGTTTATGAGAAAAAAAATTATGATTTGTACCATTTTTTTTCTTTTTTGTACTATTCTACGACACAAAATTTCCATTTTCTTAATTTACGCACAATATTTATTTGAAAGATTATTATGGAATGAAGGTAGTATTTTTTACAGAAATTGTCCTAAATAGGAGTAAAAACGTTTTGAAATTCCAAAATAGGAGTATCATGTTTTTTATTCCCTGAATAGGAGTAATCTGCCAAGTTTGGAAGAAAATGCCATGTTTAAAGCATTGTAATGCCCAAACTTGGCAGAAATTTACTCCTATTTAGGAAATAAAAAACATGATACTCCTATTTTGGAATTTCAAAACGTTTTTACTCCTATTTAGGGAATTCTCTCTTTTTTTTATCATCAAAACAAAACGCTTATATTAATATCATTAGGAATCAGTTCGTTACAACAGACTCAAAAATATCAACTCTTACAACAACTATCTCTGACCAACTAGCACTATCAACCCTACGGCTAGATTCAGAGGCGACCACCCCTGAAAGAGCAATATGAATCGCTAACCACCAAGCGGGTGTGACACAACAGGCCATATAGATCTTTCTAACGAAATACTCCGTAATATCTAGCAGAATTATGGAATGAAGGTAGTATTTTTTATCATCAAAACAAAACGCTTATATTAATATCATTAGGAATCAGTTCGTTACAACAAACTCAAAAATATCAACTCTTACAACAACTATCTCTGACCAACTAACACTATCAACCCTACGACTAGATTCAGAGGCGACCACCCCTGAAAGAGCAATATGAATCGCTAACCACCAAGCGGGTGTCACACAACAGGCCATATAGATCTTTCTAACGAAATACTCCGTAATATCTAGCAGAATTATCAATCATAATTATAGACCTAAAACTTAAAACATCAATAAAAACAAAGCAACATAAAACAAAATGTGAAAATAAAACCATAAAAATTAAATAATAGATAAATTTTCCAAACCCTAGCACCTTGATCGCTCCAAGGCGGCGGTTCAGGAGGGGAACGGACAGCCGGTCTGTCTTCTTCCTTGCTCATCAGCCCTTCACCTCTCCCCGTTTTCTCATCGTCCGTTCCGCCTCCACTACCACCACTGCCCTCTACCCATGTTGATTCGTCAGAAACTAACCCTTCGACCTCCTGCTCAATTGCATGAATGAGAAAATGTTGCTCTAGATTTTCATAGAAGACATGACTATCGTTTCTTAAACCTTGGATTCGTTTCCAACAGCTGCAGCCGCACTCACGCCTCCTTTTAGATTGACTTGCACAAACCGAGAAAAGAAATTAGAAAACAAAGGTGAAATCTTGTCGCTGCTTCGAGGTTCAATGGATAATCTCAAAGTCGCCTAACTCCCAAAACCAGAATCAACAATCTAAACTTAAAAAACACTCTAGAAGCCTAAAGAAAAAGAGCCACACAAACAATTGGCGAAAAGAAACCCTACGCGAAGGCAAAGGCGCTAGGGAGATAAAACCTTACGCTTAATGTGCCTAACGGGTTTCAAACTCGAGGGGGTCTGGGTCTGGGGGAGGCCTGGGGGGTCTGGAGTAATCAGGGCTGAAGTTTCGAACCCTTATGTGCCTAGCGGATTTCGAACTCGAGGCCTCTCACTAGGCACGGTAACCTCACAACCACGGAATGCTTGGTTAAGAGAAGCTAATTTTTGTTCATACGAATATATTAAACACGAGGAATGTTCATGTCAGGCCGGCCTGACGGGCTGCTCCGTCCGGCCGAGCCCGTTTGGGCACCTTCCTGGTGGAATTTTTTGATGAATGTTTTTGAGCATGTTCCTCATCAAGTCTAGTTTGTCCATACCAAATTTCAGCTCAAAATTCGATCGGGAAGGCATTCAAATCATTTTTTGAAGTTGACTGCAGTTTTATATGTATATTTTGATGCAGTCAACTTCAAAAAATGATTTGAATGCCTTCCCGATCGAATTTTGAGCTGAAATTTGGTATGGACAAACTAGACTTGATGGGGAACATGCTCAAAAAAATTTATCAACAATTTCCATCGGGAAGGTGCCCAAATGGGCTCGGCCGGACGGAGCATCCCGTCAGGCCGGCCTGATGAGAAGAGCACTCTATTAAACACTTCAAAACTCGTTTTTTTAAAGTAATAACTCAGAGTCTCGAATAGTTCCTGGGGATGTTTTACGGGGGTGTATTCATTCAAGACATTTTAGGATTTGTCAAATTTGGGTGTATTCATTCAAGACATTTTAAAACTCTTAAAATGTCTAGGTGTATTCATTTTGGACATCAAGACATGGATTCTAGGTATCATGTGGACATATCCAAACTTGTAAGCCCAAACATAGAAGGAAATCCCTTTACCCAAATCTCACACCTTTACGTGAGATTTGAAATCCTAGCAAGCACGAAGGTTATCTGGCTCCTTCGAACACAACAATCGGCAGCGGAACTTCAATCGACAGAGGTAAACATTTTCTCCGCCCTCTTGCTTTTCGACCGCCATTTTTCTTCATTCCACAGAATCAAATCCTTGCAGCTTTGTTATCTCTTTTCCTCTTTGTTAAATCCCTAGCTTTTCTTACGGGGGTGTATTCATTCAAGACATTTTAGGATTTGTCAAATTTGGGTGTATTCATTCAAGACATTTTAAGACATTTTAAAACTCTTAAAATGTCTAGGTGTATTCATTTTGGACATCAAGACATGGATTCTAGGTATCATGTGGACATATCCAAACTTGTAAACCCAAACATAGAAGGAAATCCCATTACCCAAATCTCACACCTTTACGTGAGATTTGAAATCCTAGCAAGCACGAAGGTTATCTGGCTCCTTCGAACACAACAATCGGCAGCGGAACTTCAATCGACAGAGGTAAACATTTTCTCCGCCCTCTTGCTTTTCGACCGCCATTTTTCTTCATTCCACAGAATCAAATCCTTGCAGCTTTGTTATCTCTTTTCCTCTTTGTTAAATCCCTAGCTTTTCTTAATGAATGAAAGATTTCCTTTCCCAATAGTATAAGCTTCTCCCCTGGATTAGTCATACTATAGCTCATCTCATAAGCACTGGTCAGGTTACTGATTCTTTGTTTGAATGAACCATATTGTTAATATTTATGGAAGTGTTGAAATATTCTGCCTCCAAAGTGTTCGATGAAATTCCCAAAAGAAATGTAAAAATCAGTTTTGTTGTAAAAATAAGTTTTGTTGTTAATAAAACCATAAGTCCAGTATGATGGCTATTTTATACTTGCGGCTGATTTTATACGAGTTAGGGGTGTCGATTGTTCAAGTCATAACCTTTTGGGTCTTGTAACAATATGGCTATAACAGTATTACTGGTAATAATCGTATATTGAGTGGTGCAGCAGCTTGTATATTAAGAAATTTGTTTTAATGAGTAATGGACATTATTGTTATGTATTCATGATTTGCATTTGGATTTAATTGTTTCTTTGCTTAATGTGGTTCGGTTTTTTGTTCAACAGTACACATAATGTCACATAGTGACATGGCCCAAGATAATGATAGTGATATGGATGAGATTGAAGAAGATGAGAGTAGAGAAGATATGTATAGACATATTAGATATTTATTTGTAGTCATTCAGACCGCCATATACATGTTAAGCTTGCACGTAGTTAAAATGCATCAGAATCGTGTGAACCGTTACTCACTTGCGAGGAGACCAAAAACTAGAGATGGCTATGACTATATTCATAAAATCCTGAAGGAAGATCCAAAAGATTTTCGGGATATTTATAGAATGTATCCAGACGTTTTCTTGAAATTATGCCATATTATTAGGGAGAAACAATTGTTGGCAGATACAAGGTACGTCAGCATTGAGGAAATGCTTGCAACATTCTTAGTTATTGTTGGTCAGAATAATCGTTATTGTCAATTGCGCAAAACATTTGGAAGATCACATTTCACTGTTAGTCAAAATTTCAACAAGGTTTTGAAGGTGCTACAACATTTTGCGGTTGAAATGATGGCAAAACCTGGACGTACGGTGCCAGAAAAAATAAGAGAAAGTACCAGATTTTATCCGTATTTCAAAGTAAGTTCATAATTTATATCTCTCGCACATAACTTAAAATAACTTTGTATGAATTTATTATATATGTTCTCTTTTCATTTTAGGAATGTCTTGGAGCTATTGATGGCACACATATACCGGCAATGATATCTGGCCGTGAAACAAGTAGCTATAGAAATCGTCATGGGATTATTTCACAAAATGTTTTGGCTACTTGTAACTTTGATCTACAATTTATGTATGTGTTGAGTGGCTGGGAGGGATCAGCACACGATTCAAAAGTTTTGACCGATGCATTGACAAGGAAAAACGGTCTGAAAGTTCCCAATGGTACGCATGCGTGACATTATATATTGCCTTTATCAGTAGTAATCAATGCGGTTGTTATATACTACTATCACTTATTTGGTGTTTTTATTGTTATTACAATTACTATTTGCTATTATTATTCTTCCAACTATTGTAAGTATTTTTATAAAAGATTTTATAACTATAATTTTTATCCATATTATGTAGGATATTTTTATTTGGCAGATTGCGGATATCCAAATAGACGTCAATTCTTAGCACCTTTTCAAGGTACCCGCTATCACCTACAAGATTTTGCTGGTCAAGGTCGTGATCCAAATAATTCGAAGGAACTTTTTAATCTTCGTCATGCTTCACTACGGAACGTGGTTGAAAGGATATTTGGGATATTCAAGTCAAGGTTCGTTATTTTCAAAACAGCACCCCCGTTTCCTTTCCGCACTCAAGCCGAGCTAGTGCTTGCGTGTGTTGGATTGCATAACTTTCTACGAAAAGAATGTCGCTCTGATGAATTTCCGGTTGATCCTGAAGATGAAATTCGATCTTTTGAAGCGGAAGATGTTGAACAATATTTTGCAAGTGAAGAACAACAAAGGGCTAATGCAAATGCTTGGAGGGACACAATAGCATCTAATATGTGGAATGATGCTATGAACTAGTATAGGTCATGTGATTGTCCAAGTAGCATTTATGTTAAGTTATTTTTGTTTTATGCTTTCATAACATTGACAATCACTATCTTTTAGTGCTGGGGATTATCTCAGTGCAATTGAAGCAATAGCCTGAGGGAAATCATTTCTCCAGTGGAACTTCATCGTTGGCCTCATTTCTATTTATGTTTTAGTTATAATTATGAGTTGGACAGAGAGTAATAGACCGTTATTGGTGTGTTGTTGATGATGCTTATGACTTGAGACTGCTGAAAATATGATTGTCTTAGGTGAATTGAGTTATGTGGTGTACGACAGTACGAATGTGCTGTATTAGGATTTAAGAAGAGGTAGGTGTTAAATGAATAAAATCCAAAAATGTCTTAATATGTCTCATGTCCAAATCCACACAAATCTTGACAAATCCACATAAGTCTCAAATGTCTCCTAAAATCTCATAATCTTAAACGTGCCTTCTCCGCGCACCAACAAATGTGCTAGGCGCACCCACTTTTCTCAAGGAATGGACGAATGTGTCCTATGAAGGCATGAAGCACTCTATACATTACTACTCCGTAAACATTAGTTACTTTAGACTCATTTACTTGGTCATGCCGCATTATTCTTTTTTTACTTAATAATCTTTTTTCTACTTTGTTTCTTTCTTTCTAATTATATAGTGACTTTTATTTTAAAATCAATAAGGATGTTTTTACTCGTCTGGTCTGGTCTGATCTAATCTGGTCTGATTTCTTTGTATTTTTATAACTACCCAAGTCTGGTCTGATCTGATCTGGTCTGGTCTGGGATAAATTATAGTCCAAGTAAAAACATCCTAATACATACCAGACAACTTTTGGATAAATTTTACAGATTCAATCGTGCTTCAGCGCCTTATTGATAGGGGCGGCGGAAAATCGGCCAAATTACGAAATTGGTAAAAAAAAGAGGGTCATCTCACAGATTGGTAAAATAACCGCTTGAGACATATTGCTGAAAAAAGAAGCTCTAGTGACAAATTGGTCAATTTTTTGTGAGTGACAAAACTTTCAATCCCTGACTTTATAATTTCAGACATTTCATATTCTAAATATTGTGAAATTGACATTTGCAGTCATTTTACTTTGATTTTGTCATCACAGTGGAGGTCTAAAAATGTCAATGATCATGTTTCATAATATTTGTTGTCTGCTAGCTTATAGCCGATTGAATCAACAAATAGATATTAGCGAATTCTATTAACCTTTTTAACTAACCACTTTCATTAGCGGTTTGAAATAAAATGTTAGTAACTTTAAAAGTTAAAATGTTTAAATTAATTTTATTTCTTTTTATTTTTAATAAGTTTTGGAAAGAAATTGATAATTATTTGGATTGAGAACCGTGAAAGATGGCAATTTTAATTATAGTCTATGGCCTAATGAAGGTTTGAACTATGAAAGATGGCAATTTTAGTTAAGGAATACGGCTTACAGAGTATATGCAAGAGGACAAATTGGTCTGATCAAGGTTAGATTAACTAAAATTAGGGGTGCGCCAAGCAACGCCCATCTTAAAATGTCTTAATTTAATTTGATCTCACTTGGTCTAGTACTCTAGTATACGTTAAATCTATTTTATACTACGTATATGTGAAGTCTGGGAGTCAAAACATGATAATTCAGTTCCATCTCTTACCCCGCTGCCCAATTCAGTGCACTTTCACGCTGCAGGATTAACCACTTTTACCTGCTTTTTTAACCCTGATATTATGGCTGCGGCAAGGGCGGTGGTGCTGCCCCGACCCGTGACCTTTGTGACCGGAAACGCGAAGAAGTTGGAGGAGGTCCGAGCTATCCTCGGCGGATCAATCCCTTTCCAATCCCTCAAACTCGAGCGTATGCCCTCAATATATTCTTCTTTTGGTTTATAGTCCTACTCACATATGTGCATATATGCAATCACGCACGCGTTCGTGAACTCTAATTCTGTTTTTGTTTATTTATTGAATAATAGTTCCAGAGCTACAAGGAGAACCAGAAGAGATTTCCAAGGAGAAGGCTAGAATTGCTGCTAAAGAGGTATAATGCAGTGCTTGATGCACCTTGCACTAACCGTAATGCAGCAATTTATATTATTTATTTCCTTTTCATTTGATTGAGTAAATATAGTTGTGTTTTTCGTATTTGTAAAATTACCAGAAGGAATTCTTACTTTTCATACCAAAGTGTTAAAAATTGGTATTTGTGGTGAGTAGTTTGGTCAAGAATTTTAAATTTTCTGCGTATCTGTTTCATTCCAAACCAGCTCGCAACAATAAACATGAAAGGGTAGTTATGGCTATGATATTTAACTTATTTCTAATGTGAAAAACAGCACCACGTTTTTGTTTTCTATTTACCAGATTTGCTATATAATCTATTTGTCATCTTCAACCTAAAGTTAAATACAGAACATGTACCGTGATGAAATTTTATATTCTGTAGTTTCTACTCCATTTATGTAAAAGTGAATATGCCATTGGCATACTAAATGTCATGTTTAATCAAAAGTGCAACTTCTAATATTTGGAACTGCTTTTATATTTTATAAATTGTTGTGTTTCTTTAACCAAATTTATCATATTGATTACATAAAAAATTAGCAGTGTCATTAAATGGCAGTCATGGTGTGCCTGGAAGTGGGTTTAATGCATGTATTATCTAATATCTATTATGAATTATCTATTAATTCGAGGCTTACGCAGTTGAGACCCCGAGGCCTCCCCCTTAGAATCTGATTTCTCCTTACAAAATCATGCTTTAAAGGCATGCAACTTTTGTTTTGCCAATAATGTTAAGACAGGAGCTTTTTGGAGAGCTTCAATTGTTCAAATGTGCAATCGTAAATTGATTTGTTTTGTTGAGTTCATAGGTTAATGGACCCGTGCTAGTGGAAGATACCTGTCTCTGTTTCAATGCATTAAAGGGACTTCCAGGTGCTTATACCTAAATCATCTTCACCTTTTCTTGTTCTATAGTTTACAGTTTACACCCACACTCATTTATGCCTCTAAAAGTGTTTAGTGATAATAATTATTTCAATATGTTTTTGCAGGGCCTTACATGTAAGTTTATCTTGGACCTGTTCTTGAGGTGATGTGGTGCTTTTGTTATTATAAGTCCTCAATGTTTTATAGGTCAAATGAAGCTTCCTATAAGGCTGTATTGGTCTAAATTATTTCTAAAAGCAACTATGTGCTTACTAGAGCTTGTAAATTTCTTACTAATGTGTCTTTTATTGCACTCTTGTGTGTGATTCTCACTTAAGAAAAAGATGAATGTAATCGGGCTGTTTTTGGCCTTTTGGGTAAGATCTGCTTTCCTTTTCAGCCTGTCAGTCTATCACAAAACCATGTTCACTTTCCTATTTTATTTATTTTTGGTCTTAGGATATTTTTAATTGGGCTGAAATTTTCTGGTTTGATCTGCTTAAGTCTGGTAGATGTCTAGCCTCTGTGTATTTTCCATCTGTCGAAGTCGGTCTGTTATGTTCAAGTCTTTGTGACCCATTTTTATTTTTTTATTTTCTCAAAAGGCCAAACTTGAAACTGACTAACTTCACTTTTTAAAAACAAAAAGTGATCTTTTGGAAGTCACCATTCTTGGGTGCGGATTTATAAGAAAATCTAAAAAGCGAATGTTAGTCTTATGTAAATCAACAAGCCAGGTCCTTCTCTGCTAAGCTCAAGATACTCAAGAAACTGAAAGGTAGCGAATCCTGATAATTCTATCGGATATCCATCCTTAGCCAATTAATCAGTTATCAGCCAATTGATTCCCTTCTCCAATATGTGGTTAAGATCAAGATTGGATGCCTCATGCCTCTTTATTGAACCTATTCTGTTCCAAAAGAATTTTTAAAAGCCAAGCTCCTTTGCTGCTATGACTCAAGTTTCCATTAATGGCAACCAAAATGTCTAATTCCTCAATAAGTCTGCCATTACCCTTCTCTGTGGCCAACTGAACTGCCCGACTGCCCATATAAGTATGCAGTAAACCCATAGACACTTGGTGTGATTTCCTTTCATAAAATTCTATGTTTTTGGTAACGCTGCATTTATTCTTTTCCAAATGAACTAAAGAATGATAATGGGAAGATTTTGTATTTCCACATTACCTTTGAAGCACTGAAACAGCCATTTCCTAGAGAGCCTTAACAGAACAGGTCTAACATTTAATCATGTGTTTAAGTGAGAAATAACTCCCAGCTTTACCTAGCATGTTGCAGAAACCATATCAGAAATAATCAAGTGGTCAATGGATACCTCATCAGCACAACACAGGCACTTGGAAGCATTCTTGACATGTAGCCTGGCTTACAAAACGTTATCCTTAGGAAGTAATGCTTCCCATAATTTCCATATAAAGGTAGACATTTTGGTAGGAAGCCACTTATTCCATGAGTATTTGAATCCAAGCTGAAAAGCCACAATTCTTCTAGTCAATGAAGGCTTAAGACTCAACTCACCAGACTTAGAATTGCTCACAATAATTGTGCTTTCCTAGTAATAGGGACCAGCAACATCTTCTCAAAAGTGTTGGTGGGAAGAGCTGCAATTAGCCTCTCTCTACTCCGACCACAATGAACCCAATAGTCCTTTATTCCCTTTTCCTGGCTGGAGTTACCAGCACACTGCAGGAGTTTGCCTTCTGGCAGCCTGTAGTCTCCCCAAGATGTCACCTGATCCAAATCATTCAACCACCCAAGCAGTTTGCTCCTCTGTCAGATCCAAACTTTTCTTCTTCATTTTTTCCCAAAAACCAAAATCACCACATTCACCCCTACCAAAGCTGGATGGAGCTTCATGCAGCATTTCAACATCAGAACCTTACTCCACATAGAACTTTGAGATCTAATCTCCACCACGACTTTGCAGACTATGGCAGTAGGTACACAAGATGACAAGATTTATCATGTGAAACCCAAAGATTTTTTTTCGCGTCCTGGTTGCTGACCAACAGGAAGCTATTGGACATGATCTTTAATCTCTTTAAAACTCCATTTGGGGTTCCGAATATCGCATCAGCTAGACAGACACGGATTTCAGCAGTGGTGGATGCAGCAGGGCAATGGGTGCCTTCTAACCTAACCACACCTGTCCCCTCTATAGCTAATATACATGTATGTGTGTATAGGGAAATGATCATGTCAGGCCCTTTGACGGGATTCTCATCAGGCCTATTAGTTTTTTGGCCATTTGATCAGTTCCTCATTAGAAGTATCTATTAATTTTTAGTTTTTTACCTTTCATTCTTACATTTGTTCTAAGATACACACAAACTTACTTTCTCACTTTTTACAACGTATCTAACGGTACAATTAGTTTATTGAACTTTCCGATTGCACCCGAAAATTCACAAACTACTTGTCCTTTCATCCATAACATTTGTTCTAAGATTTCAATTGTTCATGGAGTGGCGGAATCATCTTTAGATGAGTTACCATTATAGTTTTAGTTACACCAGCATAGCTACATGTTATGGGTTAACCACTTGATCCAAACACATGATTCAGAAGAACCAACCTACAACAATAACAACATCCAAGCTTTATTCCCAAAAGATTTTGGGGTCAGCTAACATGAATCGATTCATCATATCACAGCCAAAAAGAGAAGAAAAATACGAAAAATAAAAAGATAAGATAAAATGGATAATATAAAGATAAATATAAGATAAAAATAACATAAGAACACAAGAAAGATAAAAGATAAAAAGATAAAAGAACATAAGAAAGATAAAGAAGATAAAAGATAAAAGAAAAGGAGAGAGAGAAAAGAGATTAATTGTCCACACGAATATGCGCCCTCCATTTTGCTCTCTCCAAAGTCATACTCCCATCTAACCCAAGAAGAAGCATATCAGTTCTTACTCCTACAATTTTGTTTGAGTTTCAACTTTTCAAGATAGATCATGTGGAAAGATTGGGGACCAAATCTAGCCCATCTGTGTACAATCAGGTTCTTTTCTATCTGGAAGAATAATGAGACTTTTTTCTACACTGAACCTCAGACCATACACATCTTCATAGATCTTTAGCAATGCCTTAATTGTCTGACCTGTGGTCTACTGGCCATTGGTGAAAAGAATAATATCATCAGCAAAGATTAGGTGGGAGAGGTAAGGGCATGCCCTTCATACAAATGCACCATAGATTTGTTCTGCAAGAATAACTGATTGAGATCCATACAAATGCACCATAGATTTATTCTGCAAGAATAACTGATTGAGATCCATACAAGTGCACAATTGATCCATACAAGTGCACAGTTGATCCATACAGTGTAACCTCCCTCTGCAAATAAAAATAATTCACCTTGAGCAAGTAGACTATTATCCACAATAGATTTGTTAGGGCTAAAGCCATTTTTTGTTCATCTTTATCTACTTAAGAACATTTCCACACAAATGTATCTTACAATGTAGACTTGAGGGGGAACAAGCTTTGTCTGTACTCAGGATATGTTTGACTGTGTTGGCCTACACTAGGATTATGTCTTTCTGTAGGGTTTAGTTAATTTTAATCACTTTAGTAGCAGAGCAGGGTATGTTGCACTCATGAGCTTAGCAAGCTTACTATTTATGTCATATCGTGAATTCGATTTCCCGCACTAGGAGTCTTTCTTTGGAGTCAAGCTAGCTTTTCATGATTATTTAGACAATTATGCTGTTTTCTCATTTTGGGGCTAATTCTTTTGCTTTTGGTTTCTGTTGTTGGGTTGCTGTTACTTGAATGTAAACTTCATTTGTCAGCAAGTGGTTTCTGCAGAAGATTGGTCATGAAGGTAATGTGCTGTCACCTTTCACATACAGCAATTATGTCAGTGTCTTCTTTCTTTCCATATCAATTTGAGGTTTCTGCTTCACAATTTCTAGGTCTCAACAATTTAATAATGGCATATGAGGATAAATCAGCATATGCTATGTGTATCTTTTCTCTTGCACTTGGACCAAACACGGAACCAATTACATTTGTCGGCAAAACTCCAGTAAGTGTCCTTTGCTCTTGTAACCAAATATTTCCAAAAATCAACAAAAGTGATACAGATCACATAATTTCACACGAGATAGCTTAAAGCATAAATCCTAATCAAGCTTGTTAGGTTGTCGAGTTGTGCCTGGAGTTGTGGAAGTCTGCACATCAAATCTTACCACACCACTGCAATAGCAAAGAAATGATCACTGTTGGCTAATTAAGAAAGAAGTATCACATTCAACAACTTTATTAAACTAAAAATGTGAAGTGAACAATAATAGTAGTACTATGTATGATAATTATGTCAACTAATTTAATTTAAAACTAAATCTAGGTTGCATCTAACACAGGTAAACATTAAACTTTCAAAATCTTCTCAATGATATCACAAAATACTTACGTTCATGTTAACTGAATATTGTGGTGTGGTGTGGGGGTGGGGGATCATAAAGTAGCCAAGAAAAGCAACTCCAGGGGAACCATGGAGAGATCACAAATGTAGTCATATGTGAAACCCATGGTGTCTTAATTTCCACAGTTTCTTGTTTTCTAGATAAAAAGCTAACATCAAACTATTTACATGTTACAAACATAACAAGAAAAATAATAAAAAAAGTTGCTACCACTGTCATACTATCCTGTTCAAAGACACTGCATACATCAATACTGCATATGTCCTCTGTTCAAAGAAGATGGAATAGAGTTAAATCATGGCTATCATTACTCATTTGCCTAAGTAAACCCATGCCAATGCCAGCAGCTTCACCAGCAACACTATCAGTGTAAAACACATTCTTAATGTCGTTATAAATGTCTTCATTTAAAGTGCCCATAGCAGCTCGCCCAAGACCTAAACAATGCTATATATGCTGAATATCCTGCATCAAGGGACCTCACATATAGAAAAGATTGCACGAGATTTTATTGAGTAAATAAACAATCAACTAACGAAATAAGAGTACCTCAACTCTCGTGCTCTGCAAGCTTTTCCAATGAAACTGTTCAATACCTCACCATGATTGGTGTTGATTAACTCAAGAGCATATAAAGCACCACCCTCTAGATATGGACTGAATATTCCTTTCAACGGCAATGCAATCCAATAAGTGCATAATCCTTTTTTTCTCGAATAGGAGAATCATATCCATGCTCATTTCACACCCTAGCTATTGTGCTCTGATCCTTACCGACTTTGACAAAAAGAACTATTCTTATTCTTTTCACGAGGTTAAGAAGCGTAAGGTTGGAAAAAGACTAAAAGAGTACTTGACTATGTTCAATTTTTACAGAGTAAACAATGAAATCTTCAAACTGGGTGGAAAATTTGCTGAAGCAATAGTCTAAACAACATAATTATGAGGAATGCTATGAAACTTTTTGAAGCAATGGAGTACTTTCATCAATTATTTTGTGCACATGATATTCTTGAGGGATAGTTCTAACAAAAGCAAAACATATCAACAAAATTATCGATGGAGCACTTCTAACAAGGATGGATAGTTTGCTTAAATATCATCATTGTTTCAGACGAATAAAGAAGAAACCCAGAAAACGAACCAAAATTGCCCGTAAATATCATCAATGGAGCACTTCTAAAAAAACTCATACCTTACACGAAAAACCAGATGAAGAACTCCGCACGAAAAGAGATGTTTAGCACAATAGAACCCAACAAAGAAAGATACCAGTTCCAACTTCCAAGCTATTAGAAATAATTTGTGAACATATGGTCTATTACATAAGTGTCTGAATAGAAATACTAGGTATCTTAACGTTTCAACTCAACCCTTTTTTTAGATTCAGCTTATTTGGTCTTTTACCCCAAGTAGGCTACTTCTACCCACTGGATTGAATCGGAGTGCCAAACATAGCCTTATTGTGAAAGCATTTGAATTTATAAAAATTGTAAATATGTTTTCAATGTCGAACTTTTATAAATATGTTTCGGAAAGCACTTTGAAAAGGGAGAACACTTTTTTTTTTTGGTGCTACATTTGAAGCTTTAACAATCATTGAATGGAGAAAGTTGTGGGCACAAGTTTGTGCGGAAGTACCAAAGTAGTTAAATTGGTACTTGGGGCTACTCTCTGTCAAGGGCATATATTTAGAATACTTGAATTTTGTAAGAATATTAAGTCTCTGTATACAAAGTAAAAAAATAATAAGATATAATAACTAGAATATATCACAAACATTTAAAGAAGATCCATCATCTAATCAATTCTATTCTTCAACTTATATCCTTAATTAATCAGCATAAAAATTGAAGACTAATTCATAGCCTCAAACTACTATATACGTAGTACAACTGTACAAGTATATGCCACGAATTCCTAGTAAGAAGTCATAGAAGATGAAAAATGAAGAAGACAGTGAAGAACTCAATGAGACCCAAAGCTGCCACTCTGATCTAACATTCTGAAACCCAGTCCCAGTCTGTAAAATCTTAATTTTAATACTTCCAAACTTAGATTTTGTAATGCTTTTTTCTTTTATTAAAATAAAGTCCCAATTAAAAAAATGAGTATGATTGAGTTTCTCCAGTGTAAAGTGAGTCACTGAGTCACGAAAATGACCAAGTAGTGCTCTGCAATTAGCTTGGGATTTTTTGAACGGAATTAGCAGGTAAGCTACATGGCAAGGTGTATTGTTAGACACAGAGAATTGGTGTAGAAAATATTATTGATATATTAGAAAATAAGAAGAATACAAGCCGAGACCAATTCGAGAGGGCCTCGATCTCTCCCAGATCCCAATTTTCCCAAATCCCAAGCCTTAAAGTCCCAAAAGCCTCCTTTTCCTGACTCATCTGTTTGCCTTTTATTTCCTTTCTCCAGCCTGTCCAGCTTCCACATTTATTTAGACCACCCTTTCATTTCCTTTCTCCAGCTCAACCTGTTTAGCTTCCACATTTATTTAGGCCATTCCCCCCAAGCTTGATTCCCCCTTTTATTAATAAACCCTCACTTAAATTATTGGGCCTAGAACCCTATTATTGAACAACATTAAAATACCTAAAAAACTTAATAGACACCAATTATTGGTAGTGCCCAGGTCCTTAACATCACTCCCCCCCTGAACTTCCACCTTGTCCTCAAGGTGGGTCGTAAGATACTGCTCTGGCATTTGATTTCAGTGAGTTAACGGCTACATCCAGTTCGGGCTGTTGATCACTTGTTCCCGTTTCTTCTTCTGGCTCTTCCATCAATACAAATTGATAATGTTTCATTCCACAAACATGCTCTTTGCCCCATTTGTTTCCACATTTGAAGCATAGGCCCTTCCTGCTTCTTTCTTCTAAGTCTGCTTGTGTCAACCTTTGGCCTCCCTCCCATTTCTTATTCGGTTTTGGAGATTCCTCCAGCTTGTTCTCCGAAGGTGTTTTCTCAGTAGTTTGCTTGTCCCCTGAAAGTGTTCCCTCAGGAGTTCGGGATTGATTAGGAAGTGTTCTTCCCTTAATTGCTTCCCCCCAGTTCAAATGCCTGAACATAGTCCCTCCCTTCTCCTTTCCATTCCTCTGGTCCCCAACCTGATATTGTTCCCCTCGAAATGCAGCATTCTTCCCTTCTAACACCAGAGAGATATCCATCAGTTCAGGGAGGGCAGCATTTGGGTATAACTTGAGCTCAGCCTTCACTTCTTCCTTCAGGCCATTAAGGTAAATTCCTTTGAGCATTTCCTCGTCAGTATGCTTCATTGGACCTGCCACTCGTTCATAATGTTCTCTATATTCCATCACTGATCCAGTCTGTTTAAGGCTTAGCATAGGCCCAAAAGGATTCTGCACGAGCTCTGGTTGAAATCTCCGTATCAAAGCTCCTTTGAATTTCTCCCATGTTTTCTCTTTGTTTTGTTCCTCCCACCATTGGAACCAGTTCAAAGCCTTTTCCTCCATGGCCAGGACAACCAGCTCCACTTTTTCATGATCGTGCACCAGATTCAACTTGAAAAAACGTTCCACTCTAATAATCCATCCATTAACATCCTCTCCGTTGAATAGAGGAAGATCTACTTTCCTTCCGGTTCTCTCAATTCCTCGCTTAGCATGAGAAATATGTGGTTCGCGAGAATCAACGGCCGCACTATGAGAATCACCTCCAGATTGCGAAGATCCTGTCCGAGAGTGTGTATCGGTTTGCTTAGTCGACCGCGACCTACTCCTGGATTGCCGATGACTCTGGTTGTTCGCGAGACGGCGAAGCTCGGCCATCACCCCATCCAACTTGTCTGCTATCGATCGCACCTCTGTGCTGTTACGTTCCAGTTTCTGCTCGATGTTGCTCACGTTTTGCTCGAGATTCTCTAAGCGATGTTCCATTTTTGATCGCGTCAGTGTCATTCACAGCCCGCAGGACCGTTTTCTCTGATACCAATGTTAGACACAGAGAATTGGTGTAGAAAATATTATTGATATATTAGAAAATAAGAAGAATACAAGCCGAGACCAATTCGAGAGGGCCTCGATCTCTCCCAGATCCCAATTTTCCCAAATCCCAAGCCTTAAAGTCCCAAAAGCCTCCTTTTCCTGACTCATCTGTTTGCCTTTTATTTCCTTTCTCCAGCCTGTCCAGCTTCCACATTTATTTAGACCACCCTTTCATTTCCTTTCTCCAGCTCAACCTGTTTAGCTTCCACATTTATTTAGGCCATTCCCCCCAAGCTTGATTCCCCCTTTTATTAATAAACCCTCACTTAAATTATTGGGCCTAGAACCCTATTATTGAACAACATTAAAATACCTAAAAAACTTAATAGACACCAATTATTGGTAGTGCCCAGGTCCTTAACATGTATGTCCAAGTATTTGAGTACTAGGCGAGTACTCAGCGATTAGATTTTATACAGAAGTACTTTCCTGCACCCTTTTATTTGATTTACGCCCGAACCTTGTCCTGTTGGCATGAATTTTAGAGTCAAGAATTACTAGAATTGGAATGCTGCCAAGAAACTGTGCATTTCAATCATTTGACTCGAATCTAGAACATTTCTGTACATAAAACAGTGGCATAAAATACCGAAAACAAAGTGGACAATGTTTGGGCTTTTATTGGAAAAAATCTAAAATCATGGTAGTTTAAGCTTCTAGGTATTTCGGTAGTCAGATTTGCGACTGCCGACTGTAATACAATGTTTGTTTAAGAACCTTAACTAAGATTGTAAGATGTTACTACCAGTCTACCACAAGATACATGTTATTGCATTAATGTAACACGGCAGTAAAACAGTACTATCATCAACTCAAAATTTCTGTCAATTGTGTCTATGTGGACTATTTTGCATATTGGGATACTGCTTTCTCTCTCTCTCTTAATTTACCTTTAGTTTATTTTCTTCCTTGGCATTCTCAATTTTTGGAATACGAGAATCATGAAGATTATATACTTAAATTTCAGGGAAAGATTGTTGCAGCAAGGGGTCCGAATGACTTTGGATGGGATCCTATCTTTCAGCCGCATGGATATGAGCAGACGTAAATGAAAAGCCCTCTTATGAATGCACCCAGGTTCTGCTTGACAAGTTAACATGAAGAGTCTAACCAATCGAACCTTTCTTATGTTTTTGCAGTTATGCTGAGATGCCAAAGGACGAAAAAAACAAGATCTCTCACCGCTCCAAGGCTCTTACACTAGTGAAGTCACACTTTTCTGAAGCCCGATATGCTTTCCAGGACGAGAAGGAAACCTAACCTTTGGACAACGGTTTCACTTTTTAACTTACATTGGTATTTAGAACAGATTCATCCTAGATGCTAGGTAACATCTTATACACTCTGCGTTCTAATGGTTTCAATTTCAACATTCTGCACACAGACTAATTAAATGATGTTTTTTCTCGAGTCAAGGCAATGACTCCAGGGATGTGCAAGTTTGTTCATAAGAAGCAATTATCTATCTGATATAATATCGTATGTAAGAAGACCCCAATTCCCCATTTTATACCCAAGAGCTAGTAAAGCGCTGTTAATGTCACAATTAGCATTTGACAATTGAGATGCATCATGTATGAAACATAACTTGAGAGATAGTGCACATATATTCATAACAAAAACATTTATATGAGATCCAAAGAAGGTTTCTACAATAATAATAGATGAATGTTGGTGCAAACCGTTTCTGAAATCCAAAATTTACACCTGGTTACGTAAATTAGAATAATACAATGAAACATATGCAACGTTTAACCTGGAAATCCATATAAAAGTAGAGTCGTTAGAATTGAAAAGCGTACAGTAACAATAACACATTACTGCGCTATATATAGCTAGATAATATTTGCAAGTTTTACCTACCAAACGCTTGCTCTCTAGTTAGCTTTTTTGCGTTTTAAACACGAGACTGTCTTTTTAACAAAAAAAAATGCATTGAAAATGAAAAATGAACAAAACCTTACGCAGATATATGAACTGAGAATGTATTGAGTCGTCAATGACTTACTTTACATTGGACGTACCTGTGCTATTTAAATACAAAATAACATAACCAACTTCCTAGTCTAAGCCGCTACTTGTACGTAATACTAGGAAGAGATAAATATGAACAAAAGGTTAAATAATAAATACAAGTGTACAACAACTAGAAGTCTACAAGCGGACGTTCCAAGTGGACGTTTGATTGAAGCCGCATGCATATAATAGCCAATACCCCCCCTCAAGATGGAGCATGGGGATCAAGAATGCCCATCTTGCCAAGCAAATAAGAAAATTGAAGCGATCCTAGAGCTTTAGTGAAGAGGTCCGCGAGTTGTTCGGAGGTAGACTTATGAAGAGGAATGATGGTACCGGCTTGCACATGATCGCGAAGGAAATGACAATCCAACTCGATATGCTTAGTACGCTCATGAAAGACCGGGTTAGAGGCTATGTGAATAGCGGCATTGTTGTCACAATAGAGAGGAATAGGAGTATGAAGCCGCACGTCGAGAGAACCCAATAAATTTTTGAGCCAGATTAATTCACATGTGAGAGTAGCCATAGAACGGTATTCTGCTTCAGCCGAAGAACGGGATACCGTAACTTGCTTCTTCGTGCGCCATGAAATAGGGGAACCTCCAAGCTGGACAAAATATCCGGTGACAGACCGTCGTGTAGTGGGACAACTAGCCCAATCAGAATCACAAAAGCCAGCCAAGGTAAGAGACGAGTCAGACCGAAGAAGAATGCCCTGACCAGGATGGCCCTTGAGATAACGCAATACCCGCACAACTGCCTCCCAGTGTGCTTGTCTCGGATGTTGCATAAACTGTGACAGTATATGAACAGAATAGCTGATATCCGGACGTGTAAGAGTAAGATAAATAAGTTTGCCAACCAGGCGACGATATCGGTCCGGTTCAGGAAATGATGGTCCTTGATCCGATTGAAGGCCATGATTTTGAATCATGGGAAACGTCACCGGCTTGGATCCAAGGAGCCCTGTTTCAGCAAGAATGTCCAGCATATATTTACGTTGACAGAGAAAAATGCCAGAAGAATTTCGTGCCACTTCAATACCCAAAAAATATTTCATCCGCCCCAAGTCTTTAACAGGAAAAGAATTAGCCAAAAAACCTTTGAATGCAACAATCATTTCATGATTATTCCCGGTAATCAAGAGGTCATCAACATAGATCAACACACACAAAATATGAGAATGACGTTGTAATGTAAATAACGAGTAATCCGCATGGGATTGAACAAATCCATAATCACGGAGTAACCCAGTGAGCTTTGAGAACCAGCATCTCGGTGCCTGACGAAGCCCATATAGGGATTTCAATAAACGACAAACCTGTCCAGAACCCGATGCTGTGTAACCAGGAGGTAAGTGCATATATACCTCCTCTCGTAGATCGCCATGCAGAAATGCATTGTCTACGTCCATCTGATGAAGCTCCCAGTGTCTAACAGAGGCAACTGCCATAATGGTACGTACGGTTACCATTTTTGCCACAGGAGCAAATGTCTCCGAATAATCAATTCCATGAACCTGTCTATTACCACAAACAACCAACCGAGCCTTGTACCGAGCTATGCTGCCGTCAGTTTTATATTTAATTTTGAAAACCCATTTGCAGAAAATAGCTTTCTTACCAGGCGGCAAAGTCTGAACTTGCCACGTCCCAGTACGTTCAAGGGCGTGAATCTCACGTTGCATGGCATCCCGCCAATGCGGATCACGAACAGCTTCATGATAAGAAGTGGGTTCCTTGTGAGCTGAGAGGGCTGCAAGAAAGGCACGATGCTGGACAGAAAAGTGAGAATATTTTACATAATGACATAAGGAATACGGGTACCCTGATTTGGCCTTTGGAGCAGCACAAACGTTGGGAGAAGAGTTTATTTTCACTGTATTAAGGCGTACATCATAATCTCGATGCCAAACAGGTGGTTTCCGCAGACGCTTTGCGTGAATTCCTGATGTAGTTGCGGTGATATCTTCCTGATGATTGAAAGGTGTGGATGCATGCGTTTGAGTGGTTGACTGGTCTTCGTCTGAGTGAGTTCCAGCATGAGAGTCATTTCCACGTGCTTCCTCAGTAGTGCTCCCCATCCAAGAGTCATCACCACGTGCTTCCTCAATGGTGCTCCCCATCCTAGCATTATCTTCTGGATCTGCCAGGTGAGTTAACCGCACCCAGGATGCTGCCACGTCCTTATCTTGTTTGTCCAGTGATGCCCCACTATCCGTGACATTACTTTGGTATGGAAAATGTGATTCAACAAAGCGTACATCACGAGAAATAAAATGTCGTTGTTTTTCCAAATCAAATACCTTCCACCCCTTTTGATTATATGCATATCCCAAGAAAACACATTTAATACCACGTGGAGCAAATTTATCACCATTACGATCCTTGTTATGTGCATAGCACAAACATCCAAACACACGCAATCGTTCATAATTTGGCGGTTTATGATATAATATTTCATATGGACTCTTGTTATCCAAAATTGGAGAAGGCAATCTATTAATGAGGTAACTGGCCGCTAAAACACATTCCCCCCAAAAAGCAATCGGCAAGTGTGCATGAAAGCGTAGGGTGCGTGCCATGTCAAGTATATGCCTATGTTTCCTTTCTACCCTTCCATTTTGTTGAGGAGTATATATACAAGAGGTCTGAAATATTATTCCTTGCTCCAAAAAATATTCTTTCAAACTTGTAAATTCCAACCCATTGTCACTCCTAACAATTTTCACTGGTTTGTTAAATTGTCTTCGAGCCATAGCAAGAAAATATTTCAATACAGTTCGTACTTCCCCTTTATCACAAATCAAATGCACCCATACGGCACGTGAGTAATCGTCCACTATTGTTAAAAAATAACGTGCACCACACGTGGCAGGTGTTCTATACGGCCCCCAGATATCACAATGAATCAACTCAAATGGTTCAACAGCTCTAGCCAAATTATTATTAAAAGAATCACGAGTTTGCTTTCCACGTAAACATGCATCACAAACATTATTCAAATCAACTTGAAACAACGATTTATTCAAATCATTAACTAGACGCAAAACTGTCTTGGACGGATGCCCTAATCTTGAATGCCACAGATCACCTGAATGAGCTGCCTTGATTGAATGAGCTTGAATTCGGTCCAGACAGTGAAAATAATAAACTCCTCCTTTCCGTTTAGCCACTCCAATCGGCGTCCTCGAAGGTAGGCCCTGTATTACACAAATGTCATTAGCAAAATAAATTTCACATTTCATGTCATCAATCAGGCGTGCAACTGAAATTAGGTTGCAATTCAATCCGGGGACCAAAAGCACATTGTTTATGTGTATTTTTGGACTCATGTGTATCTCACCAACACAGGTAGCGTATGTAATTTTTCCGTCTGGTAACGTAACAGGAACTGGATTCAACCTGTCAAATTTGTCAAATAATTCGGCCCTACCCGTCATGTGGTAAGAGGCTCCTGAGTCTAGGAGCCAGTCATATGTCATACCTGAAAGTTTATCTCCTGAGGATGCACCCTCACTCTTTTCAACAAGCTGCAACAGTACCTTCCACTGTTCGTCTGTGAGACCCGTCACCTTATTCTGCAGGGCACCATCTCCAGATTTCTCTTCACGTGCTTCTCCTATCACTGCATGAGCAACTGCCTTCCCACGGCCACGTCCGGAGCTGCTCCGTTCTCTGCCCCGACTGCTACCTCTTCCTCGTCCGGGATTGTCATACCACCACTCCGGGTATCGCCCGCTTTTCTTGAAGCAATTCTCCACCTCGTGTCCAGTTTTGTGGCAGAACGTGCACTTGAGCTTTTCATCTCGTCCGTCTCCAGTCCTTGCAGCAAAGGCCATAACTTCAGTTTGTTCTTCTCTGCCTTTCATCAAGTTTCGATGCCTTTCTTCCTGAATAACAACTTGGTAAACTTTGGTCATTGCCGGCAGTTCATCCTGACTCAAGATGTTGGATCGCAACACTCCGAACCCCTCATGATCAAGACCGAGTAGGAACTCGTGGGTTTTCTCGATTTCAATAAGCTTGAGAAATTGCTTATTGAGATCGCACGTACACCCACCGCACTTACACTGCGGCATGATCCTGAGTCCATCATAATCATCCCAAAGTGATTTGAGTTCCCCGAAATATGTCGTGACAGATTGTCCCTTCTGCCTGCACTTCCGAATTCCTTCCTTCAACTCGTATATACGCATTGGATCACCCACAGAGAATCGGGATTTGAGATCATCCCAGAAAGCCAAAGCACTCTCCATATAGGTCAGATTTGACCTGAGCAATAGATCAGTGGCTGTCATGAGCCATCCAACAATCATGGCATTCACAATCACCCAATCTTCCGAATCTGCAATGCTTGCCGATGGCTGCGGGATGCTGCCGTCAATGAATCCCACCTTCTGTTTCGCCCGCAGAGCATTCTTCATGGCAGTAGACCACTCGCGGTAGTTCGTTTCGCCCTTCAGCACCATCCCACAGATATTTATCCCTGGGAAATCAGCGCTTGACAGGTAGTACGGGGAAGAAATATCATTGATCTTCCTTCGTCCGCCGTCGTTGGTCGTTTGGTTGTCGTTGCTGTTTGAGTCGTTGGCCATCGTCGTGTATTGCTGGGTCGATTTGCAGGATCTTAATCACTGCTCTGATACCATGAACAAAACCTTACGCAGATATATGAACTGAGAATGTATTGAGTCGTCAATGACTTACTTTACATTGGACGTACCTGTGCTATTTAAATACAAAATAACACAACCAACTTCCTAGTCTAAGCCGCTACTTGTACGTAATACTAGGAAGAGATAAATATGAACAAAAGGTTAAATAATAAATACAAGTGTACAACAACTAGAAGTCTACAAGCGGACGTTCCAAGTGGACGTTTGATTGAAGCCGCATGCATATAATAGCCAATAAAAAATAATGTCAGTCCGGTTATAAAGGAAAAAACTCCTTCCCATATAAAATTTCCATATTTTACAAAAAATCTTATCAATTCAATGGGTGCATTAAATGCATAGGGATCAACAATAGCTTCAAAGTAAGAAAGCAAAACCTCTTCCTCGTGACTTCATGTTTTTTTATTGTTACAATGCAATCATTAAATACTAAAATTAATTGCATGACGGCTAGCTTCCCAAAAGACCAAAACTTGAAATGCTATTGGATTTGTGATGTTTTTAATCAAGCTTATTAAAATTATGGTTCTTCTAAACCTAACATATTTTTAATATAATTTGTTACACATAAACAGTAATAAGCATAGCAGTCGCACAACGTACTTTTCTCATATGCCATTCCTCATTCTGATGAAAATGACGAGTTCAACTTGACTACTTGAGTATTATATGATGATCATATAAAGACAACGATGTTAACTTAGTCTCATTCTATTATTATGCCTCATTTTTTTATTTTATTTTGCAAAATTATGTCTTGGACTTCATTACTATTTTATTTTTGTTATCGACTTATGCAATTATGAATTATTCTTGTATGTGGCAATGAGATTTGCTACTTTAATGTGTGTATACTTTTATTTCTTTTTACTATATATCTTATTTTGTGAAGTATATACTTTAAATGTTCAAAATAATCCTCCGTATTTTTTGTCCAAATTTTTGTAACATACTCCCTCCGTCCCGCTAAGATTGTCACATTTTACCTTTTCGAGAAATCCCACTAAGATTGTTCCATACTAAATTTGGTAAAATTTGTGTGGCTCTACATCATTCTTACTTTATTTTTACTTTATCGATTTAATATCAACCACACAAACTCACTTTTCTTAATAATCATGTCACCTTTTCTTGTCCCAATCTTAGTGGGACGGGGGTAGAACTTCGTATACCATATTATACACGTATACGTATTCACACATTTTTTAGAAGTCAACGTATTTTCCAACGAATTTTTTGACCGTCTTGTTCATTCTTATTATCGAATAAAATGTGTACGTATTAAATTTCGTTTAATTCATGTATCGTATTTAACTAACAATGGCTTGCTCTACTATGACCATACGGCCCTTAAAATGGGCCAGTGCTAGAAATCCAGCCCAAAACTAATAGTAGTAGGCACATGCCTTTTTGGCGAAATCCAGCCACAATTGTACTTTAAAAGAGGACTTGCATGCTATTTTTACTTTTTATTTGTAATTATTGGAAGTTGTTGACTTTGAATAAATTTAAATTGGAGTTCTGAAAACCCTTATCCTCGAATCGCCATAAATCATATGTCGTGTTTGTTAAAAACATTTAAATATTATTTTTTTTATCGTCAAAAACATTTAAATATTATGTAAATAATAACACCCCGTATTGTTTAAAAAAGGGGGAAAAAAAAAATAACACCCCGTATTAAACATACTAAAAATTTGGCTTCTGTGCTACAAATTACTCAACAGTTGAAAATGTAGGTTTTGTTTTCTCATTTTCTAATTACCATTGTTTCTCCATTTTCTTTTGAATTAGCATCCAACCGGTAAAACTTTCTTTTGAAAATCACCTTTCTAGGGTCAGAATTCTATGTTACCGTCTAACCATTAACAAAAATTACAAAACTAAAATTTAATTTTCTTTTTTCAAAACAAGAACAGGATTTAATTAATTGTTTTTAATTGGCATGATTCTCAAATCAGAGCAAATTAAACTTGATCACTCTGGAATAGATGAGACTAGACTTATATAATACGTAGTAATAAAATACTTGTCAAATAGATCTTTATACGTAGATTAAATAGATCAAACCAAATCAAATCAGACACGAAGATTTCAATCCGATTAAAAACATTATACGTAGAGCTATTTATGTTTTTTTATCCAACTACGGGTTTGTTTGCAATTGCTTCTCCTTAAAAAAGACACTTTTTGGAAAAAAGTGATTAGTAATAAAAGTTGGTAGTGTTTGGTAAAATAAGTGTTTTTTGTGTAATAGAAATAGTAAAATCACTTTTTACACGAAAGCTGAGAAAAATAAGTGTTTTAAAGCCAAAAGATGGTAGTATTTGTTTGCAAACAAAGCCTACAACCAATTTGGTAAACATAAGTAGTATCCTTCTAATTTTTAATTTGTACAAAATAAAAATTGTTTTTAGATGTTTTTTGGTACAACACTTTCTTGGAGCTTTAAAATTTAAGATCTTTTTAAGAAGTAACTTTGAGTAGCTTCGGAGAAAATTGTCTTCTAGGGTAATTCAAAAAATTGTTTTGAGTAGCTTCCGAGTAACTTTAAGAAGTAACTTTGAGTATCTTTTAACAAGTAACTTTGAGTAGCTTCGGAGAAAACGTGATCTAATAATTGGAACCGAATGTAAAGTGCTATTAAGGATGTTAACTTTTGGACTGTTTTCAGTCCCAGATAGACCAGACTTAAACAGACCAGATCAGACCAGACCAGACTTAAACAGACCAGACCAGACCAGACCAGACTTCCGTAGTTATAAAATAAACAGGGACCAGACGTTTACCAGACCAGACCAGACTAGTTCAGACCAGACCAGACTTAAATAGACCAGACCAGACCAGCAAATTTCAGTCCAAAAGAAAACATCCTAAATCATATGCTATGCCTGTTTGCTTGATATCCGGGGAGGAATAATAATCGTGCACTTCAACATGAAATGAAACACTTATATAAAAGTACGTAGTAGAGTGTGAACAATGAAGATGGGATAATAATATTTATAATTAATGCGGTGTGCCAAATTGAGAGTTATTACTCGAGGGATAATTTCTAGTCTTAGTAACTAAAGTTGGGTACTTTTAAATTTATCTTTTAAATAGGGACATTTGTTTTTTTTATACCCCGGAAGACAAATCACCAAAATCAATGGGGCAAATGACGGGGACATTTGCCGATATTTTATTAAAGAGATAGAAGATTTGGTACACAGAGAGAGACTAGGCCAAATACCTCTCCAGAAATTTGAGCCTTTTGGGCCACACCAGACCCAAAAGAATTAAAAAAAAACATGCGAAAAAACAAAGACAAATACTAAGAACGCAAAGTAGGAAGACAAAAAAGATCTGCATAGTAACCTTGTTTAACACTTTAACCTTAGTGGGGAGTTGGCTTACCAGCCTGAAAATCCGAATATGGCCCAAATCCGAGTGTTGGGCAGCAAGCAGGTGGGCCGGCCCATTGGCCTCCCCATACTCATGTCTGAATGACAAGCCCGAGTTTGTTGCCTTTCTCCTGAAGTGAGTCAGGTTGCCTGAATCGTCCAAGATAGAGTGAATCAAGGCTTAATAGTCGCCTTCCACCTGAACATCTGTGAAGCCTTCCTTCATCACCATTTCAGAAGCTGTAACCAGAGCCCCAATTTCTGCTTCCTCACTTGAAACCGCCTGGACGCCGAAGCTAGCCGCCCAGACCAGTTCGCCAGCACGGTTCCTGAGGATGGCCCCTCCCATAGCAGGGACATTTGTTTTTTGTTTTATGGTGTCAAGTTATTTAATCGTCACATCACACGTCCATGTTATCACATGCATGTATCATATAAAGAATAACAACAATGTCATAGACGGGAATTGACCAATTGAACCCTGCCATTCTTACTCCAACGATAAGTGCTTTATTTTTCGTATTAGTTACTCTATCAAAACTTTTGGTATACACGTTCACTTTTCTTCTTACTATTAGGAAAATTCTTTAGGCACACCCTGGGTTACACCCAGGATTACCCCATATATAAACTAATAAACCCCTCCCCAGGGTTACACCCAGGGTTACACTATTAAAGAACCAGTGTTCTTTAATCATTTAGAAGTTAGGTTGTGGGACTCATATAAACAGGCCGCCGACAAATAGGAGTTCTTAAAAGAATGTCCATCCACATACCGGATTCCATAATGGCACGATATAAATATGGCCATTTGGCCAATGGCTAATGTCCATCGTCATACACATGCCACGTAGTCACGTACTGTGGTATATAAGCTTGATCTGCTGGCGGCTTAATTGCTTTTGGTCGTCATCATTATGCTTTCATCCCTAAAAAACTACGAGTATATATGATAGGATTATATTAATATTTATATGTTAATTATTTAGTGATTGATTAGTGAGGCCTGATTTTATGGATTAATAGTTAATGCATGTTACTCTAGTTACCGTCCAGCTGGCAATGCATTAGTGAGGCCTGATTTTTCTTCACTTTCATTCTTATAAAAAATTAACTAAAGTGATATATTTTGATATACTCCATAGAAGTATATTGTATGGAGTACTACAGATTAAATGTCTTCTTTCACATTTACAATAGATAAAATAAGAAATATAAACATTTTTTGCCATATTATAAAAAGAATTTTTAAAGGACTTAAAGTATGGCCAAGTACCTTGTGGTCTGATGGCATCATTGTGGCACTCCCAAGGAGGAGGTCACAGGTTCAAATCTCATCCAGTTTAAGGATGTTGGTATTAACTTTGAGCAGATACTATATAGGTTAGAAAGAATTGTCTAAAAAAGATCTAAAAGTATGTTAAAAGGCACGAAAATTTGCAAATAAAATTTATTAGATGTAAATTAAATAACTATTTAGATAATTATGATTGAAAATTACTAAAGAAAATAAAATTTGATTAATTGACATGCAATATGTGATTGTAAATACATTCTTATATGACTCTTATATTAGGTTGTTAGATAACTGATATACAGAGTATATTAGATATCTTTAAGGGTTCCTATCTTTAATCGATTCTTCATACGGAAGTTTTAGTTTGGAACCAATGGAAACTTCAAAACTGAATAAATGTTAATCTATTCCTTCTGCAAAACTGAAAAAAATGTTAATCTAGTCAACTTTTCAAAACAGAAATTTAAATGAATGACTTTTCCACGTTCCTTCTGCAAAGTATGAGAGATTGTCCCAACATGTCCCAATAAGAATATAAGATAACATGTTATACTTTCATTTTTTTTG